ATTTGATTATGAAATTAACAAAAAGTAAAATGTATGCAAATGTCTATACGTGACTTTTTCCGCATAAGCTGTTCAGTACTAAAAGTCTATAGTACGTCTCTAACATAAATTATAGGTTAACAGTAGTGTTATAATCGATTTATTTAATAAGTATTTTGATATAAAAAACTTGGAAAAAAAGTTGGTGAAAAAAAGCAATCTGCACATTTAAGGCATATAAGCAAAATGTCATGCTATTGTTTAACCAAGTTTGAATAACTAAAACTTGAAATCTGCGCAGCCAAATAAAATTAAACTAGAATATACTTCAAAAACGTTTCGAAATGCTTAAAAGTAAAAATGTGTTAATAAACTATGACAATTGTGTGTACTGGCATATTAGGGTCATGGCAACGGCAAGCAACTGAACAAATTTTATAAATTTCATCCATTACTTCTGCGGTCTGTCAACTTCTACCTTGTTCATATTAATTTAAGCCTACTTTTAAATATAATAACTTAACTATTCTGAAACTCTGCCTACAATAGACTATCACACTTTTTCTTTAACATTATGGAAATTTATCCATTGCGAACGACCTTCTTCCGACATTTATGGACTTACATATGAGAATCAATTACACTTTTTTTACTGAAGGGCAAGTTTTTAAAGAAATCTCATCGAAGCATGTCTTGTGGTTACATGTATTCTGAATTTTTGTAAGTTTTTACCCACTGAGGATGGTTCACATGAACCGAAACGTTTGAGGGTTGTAATATTATATTTAATTTCATTAATACATTAATTTTGTAATATTGTGCACTGGCATCATGCGTGGCTCATTGCCATTGTTTCTTATTTCAATTTTAATTTTCTGAGCCTTTAGATACTTGGTTTTGTGCTATAAATATATTCACTAGAATTCACTCCCTAATAGAGATATTAAAAGAGACTATTACATCTACATTGGCTACAATCACTCTCCTCTAATAAATTAAAAAAGAAAAAAAGAGAGAGAGAGAGAGAGAGGCATATGAAATAGGAATTACATAGAATAGAGGAATTACATATGAAATGATGTAGACATCGAAGAAATTTTTTAACGAAGCGAAACAAATCACGTGATAAAGTATATGTTGCAAACATTGCAGCAAACAGCACAGTAAAATAGAACATAAAAAGGTTCTTAAGAATCATGCCTTCTTGTATTCGATGTATTTACCGTCGATGGAGGAAAGAGAAGGAACGATTTATATCCGATGTGTCCGCTCCTCGTGGAAGCATGTAGGATGCCTTAAGAGACTCCCGCTTACGTCATCCGATCTTTGGGCCTCGTCCCCGGGGCTCTCCAAAGACCTATTACCTTATTTACGATTCGCACGGCCATTATCTCCTGGCAACAAAGTGAACCAGCCGGTTTTTCGATACTATCCGCGTGTGTATACCCGCCGGTGTGAAAGAAAAAGGGGAATCCTTTTCGCGGACGAGAAACGAGCACAAAAGACACGCACAACACAGTCGTGGTGCAGTTTTGCGGTCGTGGCCGCGCCGCCGAAACCGGAGGAGGACTTTTGTCTTCGTTTCTTAATAACACGCGCGTCCACACGGAGACACTGCGTGGGGCGACCCTGGCAGAGCTAAAAGTGGCTCACACCACTCTGAGATATTATCAAATTATGGATACGAAATTAGGAACAGAAATGTTGGAAGGGAGAGGTTATTTCTGTGAGATAACGATCAATATTTATTTACGTCATATTGCTAAATGCAAAAATAATATTTCAATTATATGGTATAGTAATATTATTATAAATAAAATAAATTAATTAAAGATTTTTGTAATGCTATTTCAATGAAAGCATTTCATTTACTTTTAGGACGTCGAAGTAAAAGTAGCAATTTCGGTAATGGTAAATAAGTAACCATCAGGGAATAATGACCTCGTCGACAGACAGGTCTCTAATTTTGGAGTATACGATTTAAATTTCCGTTCAAGTATTTATAAATCAACATTTACGTTAGTCGTGCGCTACTGTGTGACGGCATAATCGATTTTTTTTAACTATTTGAAAATTTCTTTATATAATTGTTACGTTGTTTCATTATTAATTTCTTAATTTCTTGTTCTTCGAAAAACACGAATATAAATGAGGCAAATGGATGAAAGTGGGAAAACCGTTCATTTCTCACGTTGAAAAAAAAAAGATATTTAATCAAGATTGCCACAAAACTGGAGATAAGAAATATCAGAGAAAGAAATATTAGGGAAGAGCCAGGGAATTTTGCAAAATTTTTTTGGAAAATTAAAATTCTTAGTTTTCACGAAGTTTAGTATATGTGCATCACACCTACGTATGTAGTTTTGGAAATACCAATTTAACAATTAACAATGTCGGCAACATGAATAGTAATTTACACGCTATATTAAATTGATCTCTCAAAATATTTGATGATTTCCGAATCAGGTCGAAAATACAAAAAAATTTCAAAATATTATTGAAAGTCAGAGAAAATAATCCCAAAATTATGGAAAACTTATGGAACTTTTAGAATGAGGAATTCGTAAACAAGCCTGTTAATAAACTCAAAAACAGCTTTTATCGGAAAATCTTTAGTTTTGTGATGATCAAAACGCAGAGATAGGATATTTTCGCAGGAACACGAATGTTGATATTTGCCAACTCGCAGAGTCATACTACGTTAATTTCAGCCGATGGCTCGCGGTGACCGTTGCTGTTATGGGAGAGCGAGGGGAGAGGGAGAGAGAGAGAGAGAGAGAGAGAGAGAGAGAGAGAGAGAGAGAGAGTTTCGATGAAAACGAATTTGTCGTTGGCCGCGATGCAACACGATGCGTCGCTCTGCGGCGCAACAACCTGTTCGATGACTTTTCCGTTTGATGATTGCAACAAGTGAGGCCCACCGCCGCCGTGCTCTCTCCCGCGTTCTCCCAAACCATTTTACCACCGACTGCCACTCCCCGTTTCGCATTCAACAAGTGGCCAAATCATTCACCGCGGGGCGACGATCTCTCGAAAAATCGGAATTTTTGTGCACGCTGTCGTATGGCCAGTCATCGATCGATCTATCAAAATGAGATGGAGCTCCTCGCGGTGGCGGCGATATGACATGTCGCGACATGCGATAGTCTGGGTGTTCCGAGAAGGATCATCGACGTTGCCGTTAAAATTGCAATTTTATATAGCTTATTTTTGCAGTAGCCAATTTCTATTTTCGTAAAAATCTACACAGATACATTCCTTCATCGGCATAATAATAGTATTCGGCGGTTCGCTCTTAAGAGGTACGCGCGAGACGCATCCTTTCGAAATTCGATTGACGCCCTTTCGCCGCAACGTAATCATTACTGTCATCGGAAAGCGCCGATCTTTTTCTCCGTAATTTCAGTCGGCGCGCCAAGTGCCATTGGTGGTGTGTGTATATATCCGACGCTCTCTCTCTCTCTCTCTCTCTCTCTCTCTCTCTCTCTCTCTCTCTCTCTCTCTCTCTCTCTCTTTCTTACTGAAGAGAGTGGTGGACTCGAACGAATCTCGTGGTATCTGGTGGAATGGGTCTCATTAAGGACGCCTTCACAGCCCTTCATCCTTGGCTCTTCAGGCCCGCGCTTTCGTCCCTTCATCTCTCTCTCTCTCTCTCTCTCTCTCTTTCTCTTTCTCTCGTTCTCGTCTTCTCTTGCCCCTGCTTGGAAACGCTCGTCTTTTATACCTGACTGCCCCTTGCTCGCATTTCTGGGCTTGGTCCCGTGTGTTTGCGTGCGCCTTATGTGCTCGAAGGTCATTCGACGTAGCTGGTTCCTTGTCATCTTCGACTTTAAGCACGTCGCGACTTAAAATGTGTTTTCAAAAGTATCCGACGAAACGAGAAACTGTCGCGCTTTTTGACTAACGGTCTACTATAGATTTTTCTCCGTAGTTAAAATTTAAAACTCTCTTTTTTTCAATATTGACAAATAAAATCTTAACATCTGAAGAAGTTATTGAAAAATTACAATCTCTTATTAACGATAATACATATACATATAATGATTTACAATCTAGATGTATGAATAAATCATGTAACTTCGAAAAGGGCGTATACGATCGAGTTTAGATTTTGATGCCCAATAATATTTTCAAATGTAAATTCTATAAATACATCTTTTGATTATATCAAAGACTTGCGCGCCACTTACTGACGGACTTGAAATGCAATCATAAACTGAAGCCGAATAATATTGCAATTATTAATATTACATTATTAAAAATAATGATCTTTTTTGAACGAAAATTTATAATTATATGAGGATATTTTGCATATAACATATATGTATTATATTTTACAAAAATTATACATGGTTGTTATTTATATACCGAAAAAAACTAAATTTTAATAAATATTTATTCGAACAGTTCTAATTAAACATTTGTTAAATATAAATATATATTCATTTGACACAAAAATTATTAATTTGATTTAACTATATAATTTCATTGAGTAAATATTTATTTACTATAAGTAACTGTTTACTCAGTTTATTCAAAGAAATGTATTAAGATTAAGTAAATATTTTTTTAGCGTAGTATATAGTAATGTATACGTATATAGAGTACCAAGTAAACAAAGAATACCAAGTAAACTGAAATTGATTTTCAAGAGCACGGATAAAATGTGTAACTTTTTTTTTATATAAATATCATTACATATTTTTGATAACGGACATTCTCCCGTGCTCTAATAAGCTGTCTGCGTCCGTAACCGCAGATACGGTTGGTTCATTTAGTCGTATTAATAGCGAGGGATCTGCACGTGGATGGCTGACTGGTCCCGGATCTAAAAAGATTAAATACAATGCCACAAAGTGACGGCAGGCTACTTGTCACGGATGCGGCTTATTCGTTGCGATTGCGTTCCGCGCACGGTTTTAACGCCCACGTGCTCACATATCCTCTATCGCGTCCGCATTGTCGTGTATACATAGCTAATTGAATCCCTTCGTTTCTCCAATCCTTTTTTTACCTTACAGGGCGGCGGTGGTAGCGGCGGGGCTGCTGGCGGGCTGAAATTCACGGTGGCGGACACTTGCGAGAGGATCAAAGAGGAATTCAATTTCATCCAGCAGCAGTACCACTCGTGAGTATCTCTCTTTCTTTCCTCGCTTATTTTCCTTTTCTTTTCGTCTTTTCTTCCTCGCCATTCGCCCCCGTTTCTCGAGCATTTCTATTTTCTTTTAGTCCCTTTTCCTTTTCTTTCTATTTGCTCCATCGTGTTTCCTCAAATTTTCACGATTATTCAAGACGACGAGTTTTCCTCTACATTTTTCCTCGTTTTCTTGGCTGATTTTCGATGATGTTTCGATTATCGACTGATTCGCACCTTTCGATGCATGTTGCGTGCGTTTTTACTCCTATTTCGAAATTCTGTATTTTAAGGTTTAGAGTATCACTTTAAATGTCTCTGAAAACGGAAAAGTAAATTTAGAAAAAATCGTGGCCGTTAAGATTTTTGTTCGGGATGTCGAGGACAACAACATATTTCGATTCCAGCCAATTTAATCGGGAGACACATTTCCATATGATCTGTGCGGGATTCTTTATATTGAAGCGTTATCTTTCTTATTCTATTCTCTTCTCTTTTCTGATTTTTTTTATGTTTCAGACTGAAGCTTGAGTGCGAGAAGTTAGCTAGTGAGAAGACCGAGATGCAGAGGCACTACGTTATGGTAAGGCACTTTGTAAGTTCCTTTTTGTGTCTTTCCTCTCTTCGATCGAGTCTCGTTACCTCTTTCGTTTCGCAAGTCGAGAGCGAACCAAACCAAGAACAACTCCGACAACAATTTAGTTCTTTAATCGTGAAAATGTTGGCGATACTCGCAGCTATGCTTCTCAGTGTTCGATAATCCTTTTATGCGCGAAATGCAACAACAAGCAAACAAGCTCCGATAGAATATCGTAAGAAACTTTATACTAAAAGTAAAGGGAAAAAATATCGTTACTTTTCCCCGAGTTTCGGCGAATATTTAATCCAACGTTTCCCACAACTTGTGCAAAATGCATAGGGTCGTTAAAAATAAAAACAAAATTCGATTATCGGTTTTGCGTGCATCGCGAAGAAATTCTTCGGAGGAGTCTCTCTCTCTCTCTCTCTCTCTCTCTCTCTCGACTTGCATTCGTATTGGCACGCGAGAATGCATGCCAGGCACGCGATATTTATCGATAATATGAGCATGAAAGAATAGGATATTATATAAATGATAGAAGAGTGCAAGCCATTCTCTCTGGGAAAAGCGATTGATATTATTTTCGCTTCATATTGCTGGCCCCTCTTTGATTTAGTTCTATCTGCGTGAAGCAATTAGTCCAGCCAACCGTACTAATCGTATCGTCATCGGTAAGGAGCTTAACTTGGACTTACCTATATTAAAGTGCAGTACTAACATGGTCCAAAGTATTCGCCATGAATACCCGTTTCTCCTTGCTCTCTTCTTCTCTATCCCGAGGCAAGCTGGATGTTATTATATTGCCATTTCTACGATAGGTTTTTTCCTTTATGAGACTCTAAAGTTACATAACATGCGAAAAGTTGCCTCAAGTCGAGGCAATTATAATTTGTTCAGGAACTGTAGTACTATAGTTCGAATATATATATGTATATATATATATATATATATATATATATATATATATTTGAAATATAATTTTTAAGATAATATCGATATTTGACATTTTGAATAATTATATTAAATTGGATTACGGCTAATATTGAAAAATATGGTCCCTGTCTTCGTTTCAAAGGTAATATACAAAGACGACGTGTTGATACCGGAAATTGAATGCTCTGAATGAAATATTGGCTCGCCCGTTTCATCGTGAATAGCTGCTGCAAAAAGTCATGTAGCGGATCGCAGTCAAGCGCTTTCTTAGAATTCGCGTATAAAACGTTTCAAGTACTACGCATAAAATTGTAAAATAAGTTCTAATATGTAACTTTTTCTTAAACCCCAATTGCGAAACTATCGTCGTAGACTTCACTCGAGACGTTAGTATGAAAATATTTCCGAGTGCTGCATATAAAGCGTTTCTCGTCTTTCACAGTAAATCAAACTTGCGAGAGACACGGTGGCTCGACTGAAAATGAAAATAAAAATCAAGTAGGATCGGGACGAAATCTTTTGTCCCGATACAAAATCAGCATTGCACGAGAATGCGCTCTCGCAGGTACCGGGGCTTACATGTTTCTGTAAACCGCTTTCGAGATACGAAAGCGAACAACGCGGATTGGTGGGTCAATAACCCTGTTATGCTCAATAGACGCAAATTTCAGCGGAGCTAAAGGCACATTGCGTATGTTTACTCAGTTGCTTTTCAGAATTCTACAATCGTCTGTAGAGATTGCAACCGATATAATTGAAACAGATATAATTTCAATAAGTTTAAAACTAATTGTCTGCGTTATCACGATTGGACATAAAGATTCCAAGTGTAAATTTTGAATTCTGTGAAAATTACTGAGAAATTTTGTAAAGAATATTCTCTCCGGTAATCATTAGTCTATTTTAGTTAATATTTTCATATATCTCTTTTCGTTTTGACAGAATATTTAATTATCGGATTTTTGATCTTAACGTAAAGTAATTGCGGAAATGCACGGTTGTAATTTTTGAAACGTTCCATTTCAATCCGTTAATTCTCGAGATAAGTTCAAACGGAGTGCTTCAATACAGGTAGCTAGGATTTGCGCGCTTAATGCATTCCTAAGAAATGCAAATCCAAATTCACGCGAACGCGAAAAGCCGATGGTGTTTTGCATGCGAAAATTGCGCTCGTTTTACGCGAGCTCCATTTACACGGTTAAAACACGCGACTTTAAGAACTGCTCCGGAAAATGAAATGCCGCGTTCGGCAGATCGATGTCCTCACCGTAACACCGCCCGGCATCCTTGGATTCCGAGGTCCTACACCACTGTCTGCTGTACGGCCGATCGTAATTGTCGCGAACTATACTGTCTCTGTAAACTGCTACACCGATGTGACACCGTGCAAGCAACCAAGCAGCAAGCTGGGCCGAGTGGAAGGGAGTCGGGGGTGCCAGAGGGAGTGGATAAGGGGGGTCGGAGGTGACAGAGGGGTTGATGGGGGTTGGGAGTTGAGCCGGTAATCGATATCTCCAAAGTAAACGAAGAGAGAGATAGAGAAGGGGGTGGCAACAGGAGGAGCAGTTGGACGAGGCCGTGGTAAGGGGGGGGGGGTGGAGTGATAGAAGTAGCGAGGAAGAGAGAAGCAAGACTCGTTTCGAGGGAAAAGGGAGCGAGGTGGAGATAGACGAGAGAGAAAGAGGGGGCGAATTACAGAGACAGAGAGAGAAATTGATGTCGAGGGTTTGTCAACCACTGACAAGTATTATATACGTGCAAGCCGGAGACGCGCGCGGCGAGGGCGAGGAACGTTGGTGTGCGCACCACCGGCATGGCACACAGAACACACAGAACACACAGAGTTATACGTACACCACGCTACGCCAGCCGTGTCTCTGATATTCTAATTCCACCCTCATGTATTCCGACCGCCTCTCCTCCTACCATCTCTTCCCGCCGTCACCACCACCGCCACCGCTGCCACGCGCGCGCAACTTCATCCTTCGCGATTTTCATTAGGGTAACGCGCCGCGTAAATCCGCGCGCTGCTTCAATTTTTCCCTCCTTCCACCCCGACCAGCCGCTCCTCCCACTCGTTCTCTTCACTCTTTTGTCCGCCCCGTCTTACGGATCATCGCCTTTCTATGTCATTACGATATCTTTCCCTTCTTTCCTCGAGATACCGCCAATCATGTCACGTTTCCAAGGATTTCATATATACTTGTACTTGATTTATTTGTATTTTATAAAAGTGAATCGGTGACTTCAGTGCTATAATATACCCTTAGAACTGATCGTAGGCGAATAACAATAATAACTGATTCACTTTTAGGGAGTAGATGTTTAGTGCATTTGAATTGTATTTAATTTACAAATATATCTTATTAAAAGACGTAGAATGTTTGTAAATTGAAATCGCGCATTGTAGATTTACCAAAATTTTATCTTCATCTCTGTTTGCCATTTGATCTCCCTTTACTGACGATTTATCTTTTTATTCTGCAGATTTGAAAATGACATTTTATACTGAAAAGTACATAGCAGAGAGATGGGATCAACTCTACTTTTTCTCGCGATACATTATTTTCTCTTCGCTTCATCTTTCATAACATGTTTGTTTGTCGCTCTAATTTACATGCTGCGAAACTTATCCTTTATTTCGTTCGTAAAGACCAGAAAAATGAGAAAAAATTTTAGGTCATTGTGTAAAGTGTCTCTTCAATCGCGACGAAAATAATCTCGCAAAATTTGACATGCTCCAATTGTTATACAAATCTTGATTCCGCATTCCTCGAATTGATAATCATCTTCCGTCCGATTGCTCGCAGGAGTTTCATATTTTTATCGGGATAGATTGCAGTGCATCGTCGGAGAATTAATTCTTTGGAATGTAGTTTCGAAATGATCCCCTCGATGAATAGCGTCGTTTCCTAACTCCTACATTTTGACGGCAAGAATAGGCAGAGGCCGTTACGTATCGTCAAAAACAGTCGGAGGTATAAGCGGAAAGCTCCGAATCCCCGGGCCGTCAGAAAATTAATTTGATTTCCGATACGCGAATGTAATGATCGAGCGAGCGCTGGAAAAAGAGAAAGAAAATTCGATGGTATGGATGAGGGACAAAAAAACGGGGGAATAGAACGAAAAAAACCTTATCGAAAACGGGCCCGAGGTCGTTGCGCATCTCCGACCTGCCCGCGAACGAGAAGACTTTCCAATTATCTATGTTTTTTCTCCGCCGCGTTTTTTCGCGCTGCAACAAATTAAACGTAACCCACATCCCTGGGGCACGCTTCTCGATTACTCTTTGTTTTCCTCCTGTTTCCACGGTTCGCCGTTTGCTTTCCACCCCTCGACTATACCCCCGCGCGCGCGCGCGCGCGCGCACGCGGCTATACCTGGCAGATTGCATTTCTATCCTCTTGCGCTACGTTGTCCTTCTCTCGAAAAAAATTTTTTTTCATCAACACTAGCAAAATTTTGCCCCGTCACGCTTCGACTGTCACGGGGTTTCGGTCAACAATATTTTGTTCCTTTACGCGTAGAAAATATCTTTACACAAAGCGAGTTTTAGTTAAAATATCACTTCTACACGTCATATTTTATATCAATACCATCTCTTATTTAATATTTGAATAGGTTAATACACTATTTCACGTATGCCAAATATAAATTCATATTATTAAGAAAGATTTTTATTTTTTTTTATAACTTATTAAATTCTATCGAAAATTGAGAAAGATTTCGATTGCATTGTGATAGTTGTCTTCCTTGTCTTAATCATTTGTAGGAAATTTTTTTTAAAATATAAAGTGAATATAGTTGGCAGAGAAAGTTTTACTTTGCGATTCGCGAATACATCGGTTCTCATGACTCACAGCGGCTTATTAATTATCTGTTAATTATCCGCGGGTGCAGCGTGTAAATTTTCGCGAGGTGAGAGTCAAGAGAGTGGATGCGAGCGAAAAAGGAAAATGGAAATAGGGATAGAGGCGAGAGATTGAATCGAAGTACAACTAGAAAGAGTATAAAGAGAGGGAGGAGAGGAGAGAGAGAGAGAGAGAGAAAGAGGAAGAGGAGGAAAAAGGATGAAACGAGGGAAAATGTCGAGAGAGCGACAAATGAGGTCGTCCAATCATCCTATCAAAGGCTCGCTACTAAAAGATCCATATCGAGTAATCGGAGGGGGCGAAATTATCGGTACAACTCCTATTATTGGGTTCCCAGGCACGTGAAAATAGAAAATGAGAGACGGACAGATGAGATCGATATCCACAGAACACACATACATTCTCTCTCTCTCTCTCTCTCTCTCTCTCCCATCGTTGGGAGTTTTCTCGTTATTTGATTACTGACTTACGTCGATATCTTGCCTCCGGCCATCCAAGTCGAACTTCACAATCGCGCAAAGCATCCGCGACGCGAGCAAACGCTGACAAATCGTGTGACTGATTGCAAAGCGAACTTTCTTACTCTACGCATGGTCACGCAAAAGTCAAAAGCAGGGATCGAGAAGATAAGTGATAAAGAATAGAAAAACGGAGAGTGAACAATAGGGAAGGCTCTTATTATACGTGCTATAATCCGACAGATAAATTATGATCGTTCTTTACTTAGCGTGGCAGTAATCACGACGCGCACTTTTTCGTGGGCTACGGGGAGAGGCTTCAAGGAAATGTATTATCGAGTCTCTGCGCTTGTGTCGCGCGATACGATCGCCAAGTTGAATCAACGTGCACCACCGTAGGACAAAGCGCGCTCGGGATCGTTGGGCAAAGGAGGAAGGCTCCGCGCGTGCCTTGCCCCAAGTTCGCCAGGCGTAGTTATCGACTGCATTATTAAGTCGGTATATTTCCGTGGCCGATGTTATCGATCTCTGAGCCTGAGTATCTCCCAGCCTGGCCTGACGTGTGTATTGCACTTTGCCTCCCTCTGCCTCTTCCGTTCTCTCTCTCTCTCTCTCTCTCTCTCTCTGTCTGTCTGTCTGTCTTTCTATCTTTCTCTCGGCAAACCGCCTCCCCCGAAGCCATTCGTTTCCGAACGAGAGCGGCTAAAGGCGGACACGCGCGCGGTGCTAAGCGACAGCCAATTTATGATCGCGCAAGCGCATCCACCGAACTGCATCCTACGTTCGGATGCAGTTTACTGAGACGCATGTACGCGCTGAATCGAATGGCTACTACTATTGCGGGCCCCTTTTGGTCTCGCCCTCGCCCGCAGAAATTCGCCCACGAGAATGCCGACAGCGTGAGAAGATCGTGCCGGCCGATCCATCGATCGCTCCGAGCGATTCGATACGTCTCGAGAATTCCGTACTTCGACGTATGCTCTATTTTAAGTTAGGAAAAGTGCCACTTTCAGCTTTTATCGTTAAAATTGTATTGTATCTTCTTAAGGGCGAGTATAGAAAGCAAGTGTCAAATATAATCATGAAATTGAGAAGATGCAATAATTGTGAGAAAATATTGTAGTTGCAAGTACAAACAAAACGAATTCCGATCATATGAATCATCTAGTTATCTCGACTATGTTTGATAGATTTAACTACAAGTATCTGATTTGTATCTTTCTGGTTTGAATCTACAAGAAAATCTTCCAATTAATGCAATAAGACTTCTCTCCAGTATTACAAACGTAACTTTTCTTCTTTATTTACATTTAATTTCAAGATTGTAACTTTATAAGGCTTACTCTGCGAATAATGCATTTCTGAACGAATGTTTGATAGTCGTATTACAACTGGCTAATTTATGATCATGCTCGTATGCATACAAATCATTTTAGCAGTCGTCAATTTGATGCGAATGGATTCTATGATTGTGAACTTTGAAACGTAATAATTTTCCATATTATATTTTATGTCTCTTGTATTTAAATCGTGTGCCGTTTAATAATAGTTTAACCGTATAGTACTGATACTTGGACTCTCCCCCCCCCCCACACACATACACATACACGCGGGTATTTATACATACCAATATACATATGTAGGCAGGTACACAAGTGCAAACTCGTACACAAAGGCAAACGTACAAACAGACCTCATAGCAAATTTATTTTTAAATTGATATTTAATGATACAAAGGACAATTGATTCAAATTGATTTTTAATAATATCTTATTTTCGTCAAAAATTATAAAAACGGTTTATTACGTATCCTGCGCCACAGGGTTACATCTAGCTATTGGGACATTTACCTTACGTTCAACTAAAATGTATAAAAAAATTCCATTTTTTAAATTTGATTTTTATCGAATAACATTCTTTTGTTTTATTTTTATCAACTAAAGTTAATTTGACATACATTAATTCCTTATAAGATTTGCACCTCAAATATAATTATTATATATAATTTCGTTTCCCCAAAATCAAATCATGACTTTGAAATGTGTTATTAAAAGGATCAATTTTTAATTTTTCAAATCTTATACTTTTTTATAATAGTTTATTTAATTGCAATAATCAATCATTTTTAAAAAGAAAGGTAATGCGGCGCTATTATCAAAGTGAGTATCGTATTTTGCTGGAAAAATATTACTATCCTCATGTATTTGTCATATTTTGTCGTCAGATATTCACGTTCAGGATAAGACGAAAATACAGAATTTTGAGATTTGGTTGTAAAATTTTCACACGACACATGGATGTCCATTGGACGTCCAAAAGATGCCCTGAATTTTCCAGATGGGCGCTCATTTCATTACCTCAAATAGGTCCCTATGGATACCTGAAGGGCATGCAATAAATGTACCACTGACCGCCCATTTGACGTCAAATGAGCGCCCATCAAATGGGCGTCTATCCGAAAAATTCAGAACGTTTTTTGGATGTCCAATGGATGTCCATGTGTTATATGGCAAGTATATTCCATGAATGCCCGAAGACGTCCAATGGATACATAATGATGGATAATAAATGACTGTCCAATTAATACCTATTGGGCGCCTATTTTGGGGACACAAAATGGATATATTGTACTTTGGACACGTTTCGGATCTCTTCAGATTTCATCAGCGCTCATTATTTGCGTTTTCGACACCCACAATGTCCATTGGACGTTTATTTGACGTTCATGCGACATACATTTCTGATTAGAATAGGGATCAAATATGAAGTACAATTTTTTTGCGGATTTTGAGAATTATAACTATTTTCCATTGCAAATTTCCAAAATCTGTAAAAAGTATAAAAATAATATATAGGTATATGTTTTTATACTTTTTGCAGATTTTAGAAATTAACTCTGTACTGTAATGGAAAATAGTTATAATACTCAAAATCTGAAAAAAAGAAAAATCTATTTCTATCCTAGAAAAAGGTACATGGATATTTTTATTTTCTTTCCCAAAAATATATTATTTAAGTTTAAACTTAATTATTCAATAGAATTAATTTTGCATTCTTTTCTATGCTATCCTTAAAAGTTAAATGCAACGCGTATAGTGGTATCCTCTAAAATCTAAATGATCTATTCTAACTATTTTAAACATAGGGAGAGAACAAAATGTGATACTTTATAGCAGATTAAATCAAATATAATAAATCAAATTACTTGTAAAAGTATCGAAGTAATACATATGTAACAAGTAAAGACCGCACGAGAATAATTTCTTATAAGTATTTCATATCTGAAAAATATTTTATGCAAACTGAAAGATACGTCGTTTTTGTTACAGTATTACGAGATGTCATACGGCCTCAACGTTGAAATGCACAAACAGGTAAGTTTTCCATTCCTTTTTTAGTCCAAGTAATGATTAATTCTTTTGATCCACCGAGAGATTTAAGGTCACGAACAGTAATATTGAAGTACTACCGTCCAGTATAATATTGAAAATTAATTAAATTAAACTAAATAAACTAGTATTGCATGGAGAATTGATAGCTAAAACATAGAAGGGATAGTGATCCCTCTTCAAATTCTTAGAATGTATCCCATGTAATTCTTCAAACATTACATACAATTAAATAGTAAGATCGAATAATGTAATCTTTAAGTAGCGCGAAGTTAATCAAGATCACGTTTAACTCGGATGCTAATTGTAAGTATCCGAGTAGCCCTTCGTTAATTGAGCCCGGGGTCAGTGAATCGTCGGAATCGGCCGCGGTCGCAAATGAGGGGTGCGCGTTTAGGCCGGGAAATCGTGTAATTTCTGCTAATCAGGGGAAACTGCGGCGGGGCAGTCCCCTCTGTCAGCAATTTTCTTAAAAGCGGCTACGGTACAGCCCCTCGTCGCTACGCGGTCATGCTCGAAAGTGGGGCTTCCGAACTCCAAACAACCCTCCCGCCGTCCCACGAGCGGTACAACGAGCTGATATTCATTAGCATTAGCGGCCGATCATTTCTCACCCTCGTACCTCGAGGCGGCGCTTAATGGGCCGAGGCGCGGGGGAGATACGTTCTCTCTCGGGCTCGGGTAGTTATAGGGCGTAACACGGCGCTAGAATCACCGCGGAATTGTTTCCGGCGAATAATGCACGAGAAATCAGAACGTCTTTTAAAGAAAAGAAAAAAAAAACAAAATAACAATCGGCGCTATTTTAAACGGTTCTCGCAGATCTCGCGATTGGAACGAGAGGCTGTCTTTTAAAATTAGAATAAGGTCATCGAACTTGATTTATTAATAATGAAGACTGCAAACGTCTACGTGTCATTTCGAATTCAATTAGCTAAGGGTTTTGTTTTTGATTAAATGGCTTATCTTGGAAAGTGTATCAAATAATTAAATAAATCTTCATTCCTTCTTTTACGTAGACTAATGTAAGCTTGCTAAATTGTATATATTGAGGAATCTAAAAATATATTCTTCGATATACGTCATTTTTTTTCTTTCAACGACGATGAAACTTCTGAAGACCCGTATGAAAAGTTATCGGCTCTTTAATTAATTGTACGTGATAATATCGCACCGATGTCATGCGATAAAACTTCTGAGAGAGACCCGTTTAGTACAATTTGTAAATTTGTCGGATAATAATATACGCCAGATGTTAAAATAAAAATCGTATAAAAAGTAAGACCACTCGAGATCGTTGGAAAATCAAGTCAGGACACCGCGACTGCACAAATTGCAGCGGAGATAATGTAACACAGCGAACTCGCTTCTCTGATGCTAATTGAAAGAGAAATGAAAAGTTATCGGTTCTTGGCGGCTCTCTAATTAACCGTGATAATATCGCGTCGATGCTCATGAACGCGCGATTAAATCTCTTTTGCCAGCTTATTCACATTAATTGCTATCTTCCAAGCATATTAGATGATTTTGCGATGTACAAAATCAGTTAGCGTGATATCTTGAAAGAAATTAACTTGAAAATTAAATTTTTGAAATTTTGTTATAATCATTTAGAAGTACGCTTTACTATTCACTGGTTCTTCGGTTTCTTCATCTGCTATCAACGTAATGGGCATCTCAAAAATGTATGTTTATTACTTTCGGGGATGTCGCACGTCGCGATGTCAGTATCAAAATCCCTTGTTCGGGGCAAAAAAAAAAATAAATAAATCAAATTCCCTTTAGTCAATCCCCGCCACTTAGCAGGCTTTCGCGTCGCGGTTTTCTCGCTCCTTTTCAATTTGAGCCCCCGAATGAAAACAATCTTCCCCTACAAGGTTAGATCCTTCTGTATCTCTGCCTCGCTCTTTTTCCCGTTTCACCACCCCTTTCGTTTTTACCCTTTTCGCTCTCCTTCGTTCCTCGCGCAGCATTCTCTTCCTCTCTCGCGTTCTCTGCCTTTGATTTTCCGTCGCATTTTGCCCACCCTGTGTTCTTCTCTCTATCCCGTAAGCCTCTCCCTGCTCGTCGCTTCCAGAATGCTAGCCATCCCTCGCATCTGCGACCCTCGTATCTTCTGCCACAGCTCGAAGTCGACATTTGCCTCTCACCCACCCTACCGCAGCCACCACTTTACCACTCTCTACTCGACTAACTCGAATTTGTTGGCGATGTCCCAGTTCTTGTAGGTACGATTACTTCTCTCGCTTCATCTGTTTCCTCATCCCCAATAGCAGTCTTGAGTTTTCTCCCTTCGGTCAGCCTCACTCACGAACATTGGCTTGCTCGCGCGCGCGCGCGCGCACGTGTTCGATTTAATTGCATGATATAGATTGCGACCGATCGCTCGTCGGAATATTCGTCTCTTGACTCTCGCGGTGACGAAATAAAGTTTTTGCAACACTTTCGAAGTTTCTCGTCATCGACGTCACTCTACATGAATATCGTTTATTATGAAGAATCTTGGAAAAATTTAGTAGAAAAATCGCTAAAAATTTAATTTAAAAATGTATTAAATAATATATGTAAGAATAAAATGACGAAAGGTATCAAGTTACTAAAATTTATTATTAAGGAGATGCCAGCGTCGTCTTGAACAAAAATATCATTTTTGTTAATTACTAATTATTTCATATTATAGCTTCATAAAATTAAATTTTTTTTGCCACGTAATTAAAGTAATATCTCATCATATATCTAGCTCTGATATATTTTATCTCTAAAGCAGGTAAACAATCAAGATTAATAAGAAACAATTACAAATTTCTTTATTCACCTCAACAAATGTTATCAATATATTAAAATATTTACTTCGTGGAAAAGTTATGCAGGTTATGTAATAATCGAAATAAAGGCAGAGCTAGATATAAAATAAAGAAATTAATATAAATTTGTTGAATTAAGTTTACAAATCTAAATAAAAATATTTTAGTGTACGACAAATTGTGAACATTGATATAGTAGTATATAGTGATGTGTCACATCAATAAAATAACAATCCTGTCAAAGTTCAACCGTCACGTCAACATCTTAAATATAATATACAAGATTTATTTAGCCATCTTCAGCTATAAATTAATGCAATAAATTAATACGTAACGACACGCAAAAAAAAATTTAGATACATTAAAAGCACTAATAACGAAAATCAAGGTACATCGGATCCACGTAAGTCTCAAAGACATCTTTATTATATGATGTCTGAAAGACATCTTAATGACGTCTTCAGAACGTCTTATGTTCGCATTTTGAACATATTGTTCTCCGGAGGAGTTTCACAGTCTGTAATTTAAACTTTCAGTTGATGCCGATGTACAACATGATGTTAAATAGTAAAAATCAAAGTAAATTCTTCGTTGCCGTGAAAGAGTGACTTGGAAAGATTTATGAATCACTTAAAAGTAGAAAATATTTATAATCAAAAATTATACCTTTTCAAATTTTCGAATTAATACGATATCGTTCGTTAATATGTGATAAAGTTTTTTTATCAGTCGTCCTATTGGATTCTTGCGTTCCATCGAATTTCATCGTATACGAGTTTCTCCGGAAAACGAGATTTGCAGCGATAGAGAAAAATGGGCGGCTCGCAAAAAGCGGCCGCGACTACGCAAAAGAAAAGCGCGAAAGAGAAAGGGTGGAATAAACTGGGCGAATCAGAGCGACGGCGAGGACGAGACAGAAGAGCTAAAAACTCATCGCAACGCGACTGGTCGCGCGTTACGTTCTCGCCCTATTCATCCTATCGAGTCGTACGTACATACGTACATACATTCGACTGCCGGTATATCTGTCCGATAACGCTTATCGCTTAATTGAAAGGGACGTCCTTCGATGCGACGACCGCCTGCTCGTTGCCCCGCTCGATTAAGCCGCGATCCACGGTAATATGTCGCGGATACATTACGCGCACGCGATCACGAAATGGGTCATTACCGAGTCTTGGGATAGCCGAGAAAATTAGAATTAACCACGAAATCCCAAGGAAGTGGAGGTAACAAATTAGTTGCATTCGTTTTGATATTTTAATATCACATCATTAGTTCGCATCAAGCTGCGCGGGAGCCTTTAATTAAAAACTTGTCGCAAGAGATTATAAGGCCCCGGTTTCACAATTCGCGGTTAACTCTTTAACCGAGGTTCAACTTACTCTTTGTCAAAGAGACGAGGGAGTAAGCTGAACCTTTCGGTTAAAGAATTGACCGCGAATCGTGAAACCAGACTTAAGAAAAGAGAAGAAAAATTTTTATTTTGATTTATTCGTAATACCAATTAAAGCTATCAGATATTCTTTGATTTTTATCAACTGTTCTGTATTAAAATTGTATCCGAGCACAAAAAAATCAGACGGCAATAACTTTTGCGTTATCCTAGAAGAGAATCAAGCCGCGCTCAAAAGTTATTACGAATCACATCGTCTCTAAGATAGGAATCCTTCGAGCGGAAATATCGAATTGAAGACGGTGTTCTCTCTCGAAAAAGCGCGCATCTCTTTGGAAGAATATTGCCGCGGCGTTGTTGGCGTTGTTCGTCAATACAAGAGTAACTACCATTTCCCCATCGCGGGTTCGCTCGGCGTCCGATAAAAAATGTGCAGGCTGACCAATTGCGTATAACTCACCCTGCCTTTCCAGTTCTTCCTGCCTTCATGCATATATACGTCTATCTATCCGGGCTTTCTGTCTTCTGCTCTCTCTGGTCATCTCTCCCTCTCACCTTCGTTCTTTATCCTTTTTTTTTAATTCTCTTACTCCGTCTCTCTTTTGGTGCGCGCGACCCCTCTCGCTCCGTCTCCACGGGTTCTCTTTCGGCGGTCGGGGGTCGCTTTTCCAGGGTTCTCTCGTTCGTACACACGTGTTAGCGTGCGAACGCGCGTGCGGATGAGAGAGAGAGAGAGAGAGAGAGAGAGAACGCGCGTATACACACTCGCACTCGCAATCGCACTCGCACTCGCTTGCGCTTGCTCGCACGAACACCTATGCCGCGCGCGCATACACCCTCCTAGGGGTCGTGTATTCGAGTTCTTTTATTTTGCCCTGTGGAGGTAGCAGAGGGTTGAGTCGAGCGAGAGAGCGGAGAGAGCGCGAGGGCTGGGGGCGATGACATCGATTTTTTACCCGTTGCTAATCTCAATGTTACCTCCACCTCTTTCTCCTCCTCCTGATCTACCTCCACATCCGCCACGTTTTCCTCCACCCCCCATTCGGTCATCTCTATCCCCTTCCTCCCCATCCCCGTTGTCCAGCCTGCACCTCGGCCATCCGTTTTGCGGGAAAACGTGCATGTGCATCGGGCACATTCGAGAAGGAATAACCATTTTTTCGTGCCGGACAACACTCGCTCCGCGTCGCCCGCGTCCTGCAAATTCTCCTCGTCTCCCAACCGCCGCCTCCGACCACCTCCCGCAATCCCCGACACTATCCCTCGCATCCTCTGTCCATTTTTTCGTCGAACCTTTTTTCGTCGCCCGCCCTTCTTCTACACCCACCTAACCATCCCCGGTTTCGCTCCCTCCCGTCCCCTTTGCCACCTACTGTCGAACAGAGCGAAATCGAACTGACGTGGACGCGGCAGTTTTCCATCTTTCTATTCCCCCGTGGGGGCGATGACATTTTTTTCGGTCTCTCAACTTTTAGATCTACGCGACCGGCTCCTCTGACGTGAAAATATCGCTGGAGCGATATTGGCGCGGCATTTCTATCGATACAAACCCACTACTAAATACTTATAACGTACGATTTTACCCTCGCCAATTCACCTTCACGAGTCGTTGAGATTGAATGAAATAATTTAGTCGATTAAAAAAATATATAATTACAGTGATTTCCGATTAACCCTTAATTCACACAATCGGGTCATTTGGTCTCCTCATTGAAATACTAGTATTTGGCTAAATAATAATGGTCTTTGTCTTTTCTTTTTTTAAATACACAAATTTATAACTACCCTCTAAAGATATTAAAGTGTACGTAAGAATCACTTAATAACTTTCATATACTTATAAAAGTGCACTCTGAGAAAAGGTTGCTTCGATTTAAAGAAATGTTTCTTTGCTATACCTACGATTAAAGAAAACATTTCTTTGATCTGTGAAAAAATTTCTTTGATTTAAACGTTATTTTTTTAAATCAAATTTTATTTAATGTTTAAAGTAATGTTTAAATCAAAGAAATTTTTTTCTTTAACCGTATAGCAAAGAAATATTTCTTTAAATCGAAGCAACCTTTTCTCTGAATAATGAAAATTGATCCGAGACAAATTAATTCGCAATTCATTGTGTAATAGAACTAACTATAGTAAAGAATCGGAATATATTGTCGTGTGTACTAAGGATTTTAGTACACTTTTAGTACGATGGATCATTCATGTCTCGGATTTACCTCATCTTTAGAAAGTATTTATAAAGTTGTATATTTAAAAAAAAATTCTATGTAAATGTTATAATTACTTAAACAACACAAAGTATCCAAAATCGAGACATGAAATATTTTTGGCATCTAAAAGATGTCTTACGTCTCAATTTTGGACTTTGTGTTGTCTGGGTAATTACTGCTTCTAGTTTTTTGAAGAAAAGAAATGCGCAGAACAACGAATGACCTAACCGTGAGTACTAAGAGTTAAATTATTTAAGAAATACAGAAATTGATTTGCGATTACCATCGTGCAATCAGAGGTGATAAATAGGCGACAAAATACAAATATTTCTTTCATGTTGTGGTTATGTGAAAGTCACGTGGCGATCGTGAGCTTAATCGCGATCCGATTCGATCGACGCACATTAATGAGTAGCCACCCCGAGGTACGAGGGTGAACCGACGAGCTGTGCATGTATGTTCGTCGAGCACTCGTCATGCGACATGTGATTACCGCGATGTAGCCCCACAATGCCGTGACACGTATGTCCTGTACGTTATATACACAATTCGTATCGCGCACCCCCTATACAACCGGCCTCGATTTCTCAATTAAGTCTCGAATTATTCAAAACATAACTGTGTAACGTTAAACCTGTGCACGCGACATTAAATTTCGAGTAAATTTTCGGTGTTACTCGTACAATTGAGGGGCTAGATTCTATAACAGGATAGACGTGGATTTCGCGGACTAAGTTCTTATTGTCCGCCGGATTAATTTTGGACATCGATTTCCAATTTCGATTTGGACGATTGATTCTTGAGAATTTTATAGCGCATTTTTCTTGTGCTTAAACCAAATTTATAACTTTTTTATCTTCAAGTCATAAACGGAAAAAGTAACTTGTAAAAGGAAAATTTTCAAGCATTGCATTTTTGTGTTCGACTCGTCATATCTTAGCCAAACATGAATATTTCTTTGAACTTTCACAGAATAAACTTCAACATATTTTTCGAAAGAGCATAAAAAAATTTTTGAAACATTTCACAGCCGAATGTCGAATTTTTCAAAATGTTTCTTCCAAATTCGTAGTTTTATTCATTCGATCACACAAAAATTGTCCTTTTCAAATTGCCATCTTTTACGCGAAATCCGCACGTATCCTGTGTTATAGAATTCAGTCCTTCAAATTTACAAATGGATCAGTCATTTTGAAAACGACATGTGCTATTCTTTAATTTTCGAAAATGGAAATATGACGGAATGTTTTATAAAAGCGCGCATTTACGGCGCGTATCAAAAGAAATTATGCATCTGTCATCTAGGAATTATTCTCTTTGGAAGCAACAGTCAATAAAATTAAAGTGCATTTTATTTCCTTTTGAAAATCGCGATATTCTTTATTCGCGTTTTATTTTATTTTTGACCGCTAAGAGAAATTACCCGAATAGTTAGCTGTTATTTGAAAACACATTTGATTCGATTATTTGTCGTGTGTTTGCAGACCAGTGTTGGGTAGTATGCATCTAGATACATGTATATAGAATACATTTTGTGTATCTAACTTGTGTCTGAAATACATTTAAATTTGAGTATTTGTATGTGTAGCTAGATACAAAAACACAATATCTGAACTGATTTTCAGGTACATTTAGCAAAGACATAATTCTATCATATGTGTGATAACGTCATTCCTGATTATGGCCTGAAATATAAGTTTGGTCTGTAAAACTAATAAGGAATAAAATATCTGGAAAGTTTAATCGTAAATCATTTTACGATCAAAAATCTTTGAAGTGAAATTTAATTCTAAAAAATAACAATTGAGTCAGTGTTGAAAAAAAGTGGCTCAATTGTCAATTTTTAAGAGTGAGATTTTATTCTTTAGAGTTAGATTTCACTCGAAAGATTTTAGAGGGTATAATGACAAGTTTTTGCAATTTCATTTTCGTTTGCCGTATCATATGTTATAATTACAATGTAAAAATTATTAGTGTCAAAACAATTTTTGTTTACAAAAAAACAGCATGTGATCTTTATATACAAGGATCTTTATAGTTACTTTATTATTATTATATTATGATTTAATGTCTTCAAAACAATAAAACCAAAAGTGATTAATAAATAATTTATTTAGTACGTTTCTTAAATATTACTAAAATTGCAAAAAAATTGCAAGAGACAAAAATTGTTTATTTTCTTCTCTAAAAATTTTTTAATACTATACTTTCTTATGTTGATAAAAATAAGAAAATGCAGTACTAAAAAGTTGATAAAAAATACTGAAAAAATTCCTAGAGATTTCTTCTATGAGAAGAAAATAAACAATTTTTATCTCTTGCAATTTTTGTAAAGTTGATAGTGTTTGAGTAAAAAATTATTGAAGACCAATTTTCGACAATTTTTAGTAATTAATCTTGTTAACTATTGCGAAAATTGCAAAATGGTAGAGAACTTTTTCGACTCACAGTTTAGTCTGCTCTATCTGCCCATGAAATATTTGGCGATTTATATTAGCGATTATTTTGGGACATCCTGTATAATATAAGATATAATTTAAAAGTATCTCATATATGTATCTGAAGATACTTTTAAAATATCTGTATCTGTATATAAATACATTTTCGCACATGTATTTGTATTTGTATTTAGGTACATTTTTCAAGTATTTTACTCATCACTGTTGCAGACGGAAATCGCGAAGAGGTTGAACGCGATAATCGGGCAAGTGCTTCCGTTCCTGGCGCAAGAGGTGAGTCTTTGACTTTCTGTTTGGCACGCGTGCCGTGCGATCTCACAATCGAGTGTGACGACGACGCGATAATGATAGCATGGCATTGCAGCATCAGCAGCAGGTGGCCAATGCCGTGGAGAGGGCGAAGCAAGTCACCATGTCCGAACTGAACGCTATTATCGGGGTAAGTAGCCGCTCACCATTAATTTCCTAAGTCATCGGTTCTAATGAGATAGATCGTAAAAATGTATCCAGAAAAAATTCTTTATAACTAAATAGTTCACGGCCTATATCGGTGAATTTAATCTTACGATTGAATAATTGTTATTTGAGTGCAACTTGACACGGGGTTTTTTTTCATTCTTGCAGCAGCAACAGCAGCAAGGTCTTCAACAGCTACTGGTGAGCATTTTATATCACATTTAATGCATAAAACACATGGTTTAAGTTTATATTTCTGTTATTTATTGGACGATAATTTGGAATCATTTTATAATGAGATTCATCTTAAAGTAACGTGTTATGACATTTGGCTGATGAAAATGTCATGAAAAATTATTTTCGTTGTTAAGAATAAGGAGAACAATTTAATACGTTGATTGCACGGATTACGTGATTAATTTTACGAGAATCTAATTAGAGATTATACACAGCTGTTAGATATTAAAGGAGCAACGGTAACCCAATCTCTCGAGTTAAATAATATTTCATTGTTTTTAGAACTTTCATATATGTCAAAATATAAATCAAATTAATTTCTGTGGTTGAATTGCTTAATTTCAAACAACATCTGCGTATTAACATATGGTAAATAATAAATTTAATTAAATTTAATCAAATTTACTGCATTTCTTGACTCTTTTGTTTTAGTTAAATTACGACACAATGAATAGAAGCAATGGCGATTTCGTCCAGAAATGATTAAAAATAACTCAAATTGGGTATGACATAAATTTAACAGGACATTACATTGTGATAGTAAAAGAGCGCAAAAATTTTTAACACTCTTTGTTTACCCTATTGATAATGTACCTTTCTAAATATTCGTCTGAAATATTGGATAGTGTCGATTGGTGTTATAGCGCCGCTTACTGGTGACTCTCACGATGAAAAATGAATTAGGAATAAAGTCGCTAAATATATAAAGCGCGCTCGATGGAAACGAAGAAAAAGGAACCGGGAAAGAAAAGAAGTGAGAGGCATCCCATTACAAATGCTTTTTATCTCGATATCGCAGCAACAGATCCATGCGCAGCAACTGCCTCACGGAGCGGTGGTCGGCGGTCTTCCGCCGGGCGGTCTGCTGGGCTTCGCAGGTGCGGCCGCGGC